GCTCAGGTCCTGATCCCAGGATCCTGGGATCGAGCCCCGCATCGGGCTCTCTGCTCAGTGGGGAGCCTGCTTCCTCCTCTCTCTCTCTCTGCCTGCTTCTCTACCTACTTGTGATCTCCGTCTGTCAAATAAATAAATAAAATCTTTAAAAAAAAAGTTATTTTAAAATAAAAATTTTATTTAAAAACATGATCCTTTAAACCCCTGGCTCATCTCACTGTAGACAATAAATTCACTGCTATAAATTTGATCATTGCCTGCACAAATTGGATCCATTTCTGTGGTGCAGAAATGTAGATAGTATGCATGGAGAATACAGTTTGGATGGATACATGACGATATCAAAGCGCTTCTCAACAGGGAGGATCTGAAGGTGGCGCATGGTGGGGAGGCTGTCCTCCACTGTGGAAGCAGTTGGGCTCAGCTTGCTCCTCGGGTGTGGCTCATGTCCTTGTGCCCTACTCATCCCCTGTCGGGCTACATGACTCTTCCCACGTGCTCGGTTCTGACTCAGTATTGGGACGCACCCCAATCTGAGAGAGGAGTTATTGGAGATGGTCTTAATGGCTCTCTAGAAACAGAGGCCAATTTGGGGGATTCAATGTGCAAGGATTTGTGAAAGGAAACACCTGTGAGAGAAAATGAGGAAGGAGGTGGGAAGGCTGGCCAGAGAGTTAGACTGCAAACTCCTTCAGAGTGAAGGGGACAGGAAGGGAGATTTGATGGGAGTACTCAAGAATGCCCTGCTGCCCACGGAGGATATCTGGAGACTGTCATGGAGGTTATAAGACAAACTAAACCATCAGAGGAGTTCCTTTCTAGCACAAATGGGCCCATTATGATGGATTTCAAATTGCAGAGGTCAGTTCAGATTCATGCATGAGTAGGCCCTCTGCAAACAGAGGTCTGCAGGGGTCAGGATCATGGCCACCATGGAGAACTATCATTCTGCATCAGGGCTGAGGCATTATGTCACACTGGTTGCTAGTCTGCCCTTAGTAATTCACAATTAAGTTCAATGAATTGATTTCTGCCTTTGCACAGTATCAAGCAAAATTACAGTGAGAGCTCAAACACAAAACGACTTTCAGAAACAGGAACTTTGGGGAAAGGTGCAAGCGTGGCCCCTAAGTTTTTACAGACATCTTACCATTACCATCTATTGTGCTGAGGTTATCTATAACACAGATTTTGCCATCACTTTGTAATAGTTTCTCATACTTTTGAAGAATAAAAATGGACTATTGTGTGCTTACCCCCTTCCCCTGCAGAAAACACATGGGTTGCTATAAGTTCTTCCATTGCTTGCACAGACTGGATCCCATTCTCTGGTGCAGTACTTATTCCCAGATGGAAATTGTGTACAGTCCACCATCTCAACAGAGAGACAACAAAATTCGTCAGGGAATGAAACTCTAGAATTTTCTTGAATCTCCCTCTGAAATGCTACGTGTCAAACTGGAAAAATATAGTCTATATGTAGTTGTAAAAGGTAGTATCTATAACATTAACACCTAGAAAACGAACACATATGTCCCTTAAAAAATAAGACATTATAAAAACGTCTTTACAAACCTGCTATTACTTTGTAAAAGGTCACAGAACTAGCTGTGTTTTTCTAATTTGATGACCACCATCCTCACTTCCCTTCACATCTTTCTACTTCCAAACTCGAAAAGAAATTATAAAGCTGAAGTTTTTCTGTTTATCATTCCCTTAGCTTTTCTGATAATTTCACAATGTATATGTGTGTGTGTCTGTGTATAAACATATAGATATAAATGCAATTTGTTTGGTGTTGACAGTATTGGTAATCTCCATAAATAAACAATATATATGCATGCTTATATTATCTGCTTCTGAAATTTCCCTGTGACTCTGTTTATTCAGATACTCAAATAGGTACTTTAATTTTCACCTCTCTGTGTATATATGGAAATTATCATATTCTATCCATCCTTGAAGTGTGTATTTTTGTTGGTTCACTTTTCCTTTTGTTTGGCTAAAATGAACACTTCTACTATAAACACCATATGACCTCTCTCAGATGTTTGAATGACATATTTGTGCCCTTTAACTACATTTTTGTGTAATGGGATATGTACATTTTTATGTTGTCTAGATAATGACAAATGGTTTTTTAAGGCTGTTATGTTTCTATTCCTTGACTTTAGTGTAAGAATACCACTGTTTTGTTGTAATTTTTGAAAGATTTCTCTGTTGTACATTTGTTTGATAAATTCCACTGTTAAAATTTACAATAAAATAAGCCAAGTATTTTATTTTTTCCAACTTCCATCATTATTGACTTACCGTAGGCTCGGTTGTAGTCGGAGGTCCGAAAGATGTCTCTGCAACCAACAGATTGATGTAATCATTAAAAGTGAAGATGAGGAAGAGGAGGAGGAGAAGAAGGAGAGAAAGGAAGAAAGAAGGAGGAGGAGGAGGAGGGGGAGGGATGAGGGAGGAGATGAGAGATGAAGAGAAGGAGTAGGATAGGGAGGAGTAGGAAGAATGGTCTTTTTGGTAAATGGAACCCATCTCTTAATAAACCTATGGGAATTGTTCCTCAACACTTGGCAAGTAATGAGGTGGGGCTTTGTGTCATTAACAAAACCAAACATTCACTGAATGCTATCAAATTTGGAAATATTTTGAAATCCCAATTATTCTCACTCTGTGAAATATAATTTGATGTATAATTTTTAATCATCCCTAATGCCCTTCTTTGAAGATAGGCTCTTTTTTTTCTCCTTCTTTTTGTAGATGAGACATCTAAAACTGAGAAGACCATGCTTTCGAGCATGTCGCTTACATATGAAGAAATCAATTAGCACTTAAAGAATCAGTTCCCTAATCTAAATGGGAAGATCTATCCAATACAATGCAGATGACTTATTCTGCAGTTCATGGTCCCCCTTCAGCTCTAAGAAAGATAACTTTTGCCAGAGGAGTCAACGTGTCTTTCCTTCGAGGCCTGTTTTTGGGACCTCACTGGGTGATCAAGAAGCCAGAATATTAACCAACAGCAGACCCAGAAGAGATCATTCCTCCCCATGGTTTGTATTTAACAACAATGGATTTGACCTCCAAAAAGGAAGAAAAAAAAAGGGCGGGAGATTTAAGTAATGTTCTTTAGTCACAGATGGACAAACAACGAAGTTCTGCTGCCCATTCTAACCCACTACTCTGTCTCCACTTGTCCAAAAAAGGAAATGAGAAAAAGCAATCCACTGATGCAATTTTAAAAAGACATTTGTGGGGCACCTGAGTGGCTCATTCAGTTAAGCAACTGACTCTTGATTTCAGCTCAGGTCAGATCTTAGGGTCCTGGGATTGAGCCCTGTGTCAGACTCCCCATTCAGCTGGGAGTCTGCTTAAGATCCCTTCCACCCCCCGCCCCGTGCCCCTCTCCCCCAGCTCAGGCATGCTCATTTGTTCTCTCTTCATTAAAACAAATAAATAAATCTCAAAGATACCCATACTATGCCTCTTATCACTTTACCAGTTTAGAGGCTGCAAAGGAGCTCCTCCATCCTGGATTGTTGCAGTGGCTTCCTGCATGTTCTAAGATATATTTCGCCTTGGACAGGAAATATCTCACCTTGAACTGGAAAACTTACTCACCAGAATAAAGAGGAAACACCAAGGCAATGATGAAAATAGCTTTGATCCACGGTGAGAGGAGAGACATTTTATCAAGTCTGTGGAAAGAAATTTTGGTGTGTTTAGAACACATGGCACATGGACAAATTTTCTGTTTCCAGATGAGGGTTTTTGACTGGCAAAGTCCAAAATCCTAGAGTGCTTAACAGATAACTAATTAAAGTAGACCACATATTCTTATTTTTCTTCCCTCAGCTCTCAGATTCAATAGGACATATATATGAACAAAAGGGCTCCTAGAGATGTGAGAGTAATCCCAAGATAAGTCCTCTCAGCACATTCAAGAAGGAGCTGCTCATTCTCCCAGGCTTGGCACAGCTCACAAGGAGCCTGGCTGCACAGAAGGAAATAGGCCCTTTGGAGGCCCCGTTTTGCCACAGAACACAGAAATGGTTATTTCTGGAAGGAGTGACCTTGAGCAGTCCTCACAGTGATGCTCTGTGCCAGGGCCACCTTTGTGACAGTCCTCCTCACTGACCTGAGACAGAGATGGCAGTGGAGAGAGTGAGGCCTTCAGCTTTAGGGACCGACTCTGTCTGTTTTGCTCATCTGTCTCTCTTGGTCACTCCCACCCAGCAGAGGCGCCTCCTTTACTGGCCTATTGGTGGGGAACCTGATGGCACAAAACAGATGATCGGCAGCAGACAAGAAGCTGAGGTATCATGTGCTATGTGTAGAAAAGATGTCCCAGTTTTTCTCTCAGGGGGAGGCTGGGGACAATTTGATCCGATGAGTACAGAAGAATGAGATGGGAGAGCGTAATCAGGGTAACTATAGATCCTAAGATAGGGAAAATGTATGTAAGCTTTCCAAGCTATTGAGTTGGAAAGGACAAGAGAATCAAAACCAGCCAAGAAGAGCAGTTCGCTGAAGTGTAATTAGATACAGGCCTAGACCCTGGGCTTCACAACGCCGGAGCAGAGACTCAATCGGAGATTTCTTTTAGATTGAAACTCTCCTTACAGTTTCAATGTCAACTTTTTGTTTTGAGATAATTATAGGTTCAATGTAGTTGTAAGAAATGACACAGAGCCCTCCGGCATCCCTGAGCCAGTTTCTCCCACTGGGAGCATCTTGTAAAACTGGAGGGCAGGGGCGCCTGGGTGGCTCAGTGGGTTAAAGCCTCTGCCTTTGGCTCAGGTCATGATCCCAGGGTCCTGGGATCGAGTCCCGCATCGGGCTCTCTGCTCAGCAGGGAGCCTGTTTCCTCCTCTCTCTCTGCCTGCTTCTCTGCCTACTTGTGATCTCTGTCTGTCAAATAAATAAATAAATATCTTTAAAAACAAAAACAAAACAAAACAAAAACTAGAGGGCAAATTCCCAGCCAGGAATTGCTATGAGCAGGAGACCTCTGGTCCGTGTCCGCTCTCACTACCAAGATTGTGCATCAGTTGTTTGTACACGAAGCCTGGGGAGTGGTATGTTGGAAAAACTCCCAGGTGGGTGTCAGTGTAGCCAACTTTGGAACCTAGCCTAAAAGATAGTAGGCATGAGAGAGACCAACTCACGGTGTTAATCCTTCCTTGATACATATGTGCATCCAATCATCATGCTGTATGGCTGTAATTTACAGAATGTTATATGTCAATTCCATCTCAATAAACCTGGAAAAAACTAAAGAAGACTCACAGAAATGAGACTGAGACCACATGGGGCAATGTCTTAAGTTAAATAGGCGGGTGACATTAGAGGCTTTGAAGAAGGGTAAGGTATCATCAATCATTGTCTCCCTAATTAACTAACCTCCTTCATAGTCTGATATCTGGAGTTTGGGCAATTGAAAGACTTGATTTCGAGTCTCATCTACCACTGAATGACACATTGACAAAATGTTCGATATTCTAATATATAACTTCTTTATTTTAAATGTGGGCATAACAATTCCTGTGTCTTAGATGTCAGGGATAAAATAGAAACACAGTTTGCATTCACAGTTGAGTGGTGGGCTTACCTTTGCTGCCCTAATGTAACTTGCCTTTGACCAGCAGTGGGAACAGCTAGGACTCAGGTGGGAAACTCGGAGGGTAGCACAGTTCAACTCCAATTTAATGGAAGAATACAAAATCTGATGAGTGCAGAAAGCGCTCCATTATTCTAGTTCAGTGAATATTATTCCTAGAGGAACTCTTGGAATTATTGACAGACACTATCAGAGGCTTCTGTAGCAGATCTGTTCTTCTGATGCAGGACATTTGAGGAAAAAGAAAACTGAAGTCTTGAGTTGAAATTACTGAGAAGCCCTCCATAGTTCCCACCCTAGACTTCTCCTCTTGTTTGTTCTCACCAGTAGAGACTACGAGCAGGAGAGGCAGCCTATGAACCCCAGCTGGCCACATGCATTTTTGTTTTCTGTTTTTTAAATTATTCGGCACAAGGGATGTTTACATGTGTGAGTTGAAAGTTTCATGAAGAAAAAAATGAAGATATTATTCAACTTGCCTCCAAGGAAAGATAAGAAGACTGCATCTTTCAAATAATAGCGATATTAAGAGAGAAGGAAGGAAAAAAATGAAAAGTGCTACTTCTAAAAAATGAGAAGTGCCCCAGTGCCGCTGCCCCATCAATTGTGGGCAAAGAAATCCGCCATTTCGGACAATAACAGTAAGCTACCCGAATTTTGCCTGAACATGTAAAACACCAGCTGGACTGATACATGAACTTCTCCCGGGTCATTGAATAATGTGTGTGTATGGTTTTTTAAACTTCATACTGTTGAAAAGAGAATAAGAGAAGTCCACATTTACCAGTATTTCATGAAAGACTGAATTCTTCCAGTTCACCACCTGTTTCAGAAGAAACCAAAGGGATTTGATGCCATATGCCATACTTTTGAAAGATGTCTCAGAGGATACCTGGGAGGCTCACTTGGTTAAGTGTCTAGCTCTTGATTTTGGCTCAGGTCATGATATCAGGGTTGTGAGATCAAGCCCCACATTGGGCTCTGCTCTGAGCTTGGAGCTTGCTTGGGATCCTCTCCCTTTCTCCCTCTGCCCCTCCTTGCGCTCATTTGCTCTTTCTCTCTCTCTCTCTCTCTCCTAAAGTGGTGGGGTGCGGGTGGGGGGAGGGAAGATGTCTCAGGCAATAACCAAAGAGCAGAATTTGCTGATATAACACCCAGTGCTCATCACAAGTGCCCTCCTTAACCCCCTCATCCATTTAACCCATCCCTCACCCACTTCCCTTCCAGCAACCCTCAGTTTGTTCACTCTAGTTAAGAGTCTCTTTTACGGTTTGCCTCCCTCTCTCTTTTTTCCCCCTATGTTCATGTGTTTGTTTCTTAAATTTCACATATGAATGAAATCATACGGTATTTGTCTTTTTTCTGACTGACTGATTTTGCTTAGCTCAATACACTGTAGATCCATCCACGTTGTTGCAAATGGCAAGATTTCACTCTTTTTGATGGCTGAGTAATATTCCGTTGTAGACATACACCCCAACTTCTTTCTCCATTCATCTGTTGATGGACATTTGGGCTCTTTCCATAATTTTTCTATTGTTGATAAGGAAAGCCATCTTATACACGAAAGCCACCAAAACCTAACACAGATTGTCCCTTCAAGAAGTAAGGGCAGGGGCGCCTGAGTGGCTCAGTGGGTTAAAGCCTCTGCCTTCAGCTCAGGTCATGATTCGAGGGTCCTGGGATCAAGCCCCGCATTGGGCTCTCTGCTCAGCAGGGAGCCTGCTTCCTCCTCCTCTCTCTCTCTGCCTGCCTCTCTGCCTACTTGTGATCTCTGTCAAATAAATAAATAAAATCTTAAAAAAAAAGAGTAAGGGCAAAGGACAGCTGTGACCGTCTTGTTCGCTCTTGCCACCTCAGCTAGCTTCACTATGCTGAGAAATCTCCTCTAAAGATCTTTGTATCTCTAAAGAAACTAGATGTAAGAGAAATGTTAACGATAAGGCACTGGAGTTCCTTTTGTCCTGCCCAGATTTTGAGAACTTGCCTTCTACAGATGTCATCAAAGCTATTCAAGCAGCATAGAGTAGGGGAATGTTTTTGATCCAATAGGCACACATGAATGGGGAGGGGAGAAAATGATGTGTAGTTAGTTATAGTTATGTACAATCTGTTCAAGCAAGGGAGTTTTACAGGCTCCAAGAAACTAGGATAAGAAACCAAGACTTTTGGAATCTGTAATCGCTAAATACGACCAGAACCTCAGTATTTTAAATAATTGCTAGATATGAGAATCACTGAGGAGCTTTATAATGACATCTGGGTTCATTCCCTGAGATGGTGATTCGATTGTTCTACATTAGACCCTGGGCATTGGTATTTTGAGGGGGGGTGTTTACAAGTAACCAAGATAAATGTGCAGCTCCAGTGGGGGTGGGTAACAGAACAAGGGATGTAGAATTACCTCTGGGACTTCATTCCAACCATTTCCCACCATTCCAAACCAGAGCTTTTGTATTTAATAAAAAAATTTTATAAACTGCTCTGCCATGAGTTTTATTTACTTAATATCTGAGGAGCTTATTTTAATGTCATTTTATATAAATTAGTTTATTCTTTTGCAAAACACTGTATGATGCTTCTAGCATTATGTAAGTATTAATTTAAGCACATTTATTAATGGGGATTTATTTATTTCACTCCTGCTCAGAATGATCTAATTTTTTCCATGGCCTCTAGAAGGAAATAAAAGTCTTTTAAATATCATGAAAATTGGTCATACAACTGGCTCTGGCCTGAATTTTTTGGTGCTTCTGTAATTACTGTCAGATCCCAGAAAAGATGTACCATATCACAGAACCCATGCCCCTTATGGGTCAAGGGCTTTTTTCATATTATTTACTTGCCTGAAAATTTTTGTCCCCTTTCTTCTGTATATGGTAAAGAAGGATTTTTCCTACTCTCTTTCTCTTCCCTATTCCTGTGTCTTTCTGAATGTATCTTCCTATGTCCTTTTACTAGGAAGTAAACTTTTATGGAGCTGGTTCATTCATTTCTCATCAGCTGTGGCAAGACTGTAGGCCTTGTATAAGAGGTTGCCTCTTTACCCTACCCAGCCTGGACTGTCATTTGCTCCCAGATAGCTCTTATCAAATAGCCCTGAGAAATAGAAAGATTCAGGTGGTTGGAAGTGGTAGAGTTGATACTGTACAAGGTAATCTTCAGGTAGCAGTCTAGGGATTGGGACTCTTCAGGACAACAGTGATAGGGATAATGTAGAACAATGGATCACACTGAAGTCTCTTTCAGTCTTTGGGATTTTTTCTAGCTATCCTCAAGAGACTTAATCAGGGAGTAGCGATGTCATAGGGAAGATGGTACCATTTATAAATAAGTCAGGGGGATATAATCTAGGCAGCTAAATATATTTACCTAAGCCTGGACAATTTCTTTCTTTTTTTTTTTTTTTAAAGATTTTATTTATTTATTTGACAGACAGAGATCACAAGTAGGCAGAGAGAGAGAGAGGTAGGTAGAGAGAGAGAGAAGAGGAAGCAGGCTCCCCGCCGAGCAGAGAGCCCTATGCGGGGCTCGATCCCAGAATCCTGAGATCATGACCTGAGCCGAAGGCAGAGGCTTTAACCCACTGAGCCACCCAGGTGTCCCAGCCCTGGACAATTTCTTATCTAAGGGGACTCTTTAGCTAAAATTTCTATCTCTATCCCTTGAAAATCAATGCCTTTAATTTTTTGAAGTGTTCATAAACACTGAACTTAAAGTAAAACTAATTATTATTTTTAAAAAACTTTTCACCTATTTTTCTCACTCTAGCCCTCATGTTAGGCAAAAAAATCAATTGTGTTTTATACCTGCAAGTTTGGGGAAAGTCTAGAAAGCAAATAATCCCAGAAATCAGTAGCAACTCTGGAACTGACTTTATTTGTAGTGGAACAAATTTGAAAATAATGTAAGATCCATCATATGAGTAAGACTCTTGCTGACTTCAGTGGAACGCCTGAGGAGATCCATTTCTTAAAAGAAATGAAAATAAATTTTGAGGTTCCAGGTAATTTGGTTGCTGTCAATGCTTAGCATTTCCCTTCATGATTCAGATTCAGTTTTCCATTACTCATCCTGCAATCAAGTTAATGAAAGAAATTAAGGATCAAGAAGTTGTGACACCAACACAGAGAGCAAATGAGATTATTTAAAAATCACATGGGAAAGAGCAGGTCTAAGCTTTGGCTCACCTGTTTCACACTGAGTGCTCTGAGAAAATGTGACTATGTGCCAGTCCTTCCTTGACCCTGGGCCATGTGACTTAAGTATAAAATGAGAAAACAAGGGTCTCGTGTTTCTTCCTGCTCTAACTTTTATAGCTCTAGGGCATGCTTACCTTTAACATTTATTTATTTCTGCAGGAATGATTTATTGAGCCTTTAATACATCAACTATCAAAAACAAGAGAGGTATAATTTTTACCTCATTACTATCTTTATGGCTGAACCTTCATTGATTTTGAAAACTGAGTCATGTAACTCTTTCTTAGCCACGTGTTCTCATTTTAAGCAGCCTTATAATCATCATGTTTTGTGTGGATGGACAAGCGTGCCACCCTTAAATGTTTGCCTGGATCACCGAATCCATTCTCTAATACTGTTATTTAAATTAAAAATACGTTTTAATAGTCAAGATTAAGTAATCCATGAGATTCACAGTCCTGTTTATCCTCTGATACATTGTGTTTGCTGTCTTCAACTACAAGAAAAGCTCCATGGAAGCAGGAAGTAATTCTGTGTGTTTTGCTCACCACCTTCCCTCCACACAAGCAATGCCTGGTATATAGTGGAAGTTTAATAAATATTTGGTAAATGAATGACTCAATAATCAATTTATTCCTACTTCAAAAGCTGAATGTAGCACATTCTCTCAGAAAATGCCTGAATTTACTGTTTCAGGGTTCAGTACCTTTCATTTTTCCTTGGACAAAACACCCAAGGCACTATTGAGAGAAAACTACAGAGACACAGAGAAAAATGTTCTTTTACCCCCTTTTGATCACAATAATACTTCCCGATAGAAAGACACAAAGAGTCATCTTACCTTTTGGCTTCATTGAATACACAGCGGTTCCCATAGGTTTTTCCATCAGAACCACAGACTGGCTTGTAGACAGATGGACATTTTGTATTTCCAGCTGGGTTCTTGCTGCTGGTTTTTCCAGTCTGCAGTAACGTGAAAGACCAATAGACAAATAAAGGGAACTCGATTTAATTCTGATATTGTAGTTAAACCAGGAGTTCTTGCTAATTAATTATTGATTAAGTATTGCTCTAAAGCAATAATTTTGTTAATCCTTTTATTTTAATTTAAATTACACAACAAAACTGAAAAAAGAGTAGATTTTCTCTGTTGCATAATCACAGGCATACAGTATATTTAATTGACAAGCCCCAGACCAGATATGGATTAAATACCCAAGTTGGGGAGCAGACCCTGAATTAATGCAGCTCCAGAGCCCCTCCTCTTATTACACATCAGACTGCCCCACTTTAATTCCTTGTAGGCAAGTCTTCCCTTGCCTGAGAAAACAATAATTATGGAAAAGTCATACTGGCAAATAACATATGTGGTTGTATATATTTTTTAGAGATTTATTTATTTATTTGAAAGAGAGAAAGAGCGTGCACGAGAGTGTGGGGAGGGGCAGAGGGAGAGAATCTCAAGCACACTTCCCCGTGAGCAGGGCTCCATCTCACAGACCCTGTGATCATGGACTGAACTGAAATAGAGTCAGACACTTAACTGACGGACACATAGGCATTCCACATGTGGTCTTCACTTACAGAAACTTTCTTTCATCTTATGGCATGAAAGAAAATGAGGCAGGAGGTAGGATTTGCAGAGTTAAGTACTACCTGAGGCACTAGCTTAGAAGGGAGTTACAGAATGACAGAAGCCTGTGAACAGTAAGGAGCTCTGACAGCAGATGAGAACAGAGACACTAAATGAAATTGTGAGGATCTTCAGCAGGAGGCTTCGTCTTCTTAGGACCAAGGAAGGTGAACCTCTAGCTTAGTCTTTTCTGACTCAACCTCCATTTTCATTTCAATCCATCTCTCTCTTTCACACATGCTCTGAGATGGACAGGGTTAGCACACCTGTTTCCAAAAAGAATGTGACATTGGGAAAGCTTAAGTGACACTGTAAACGCTCAGAAACATGCTGGTGGTGAGAGTAAGATCCGGATGGTGGGAGCGTCCCTGGAAGATCACTACTTCATTCCGGCCTAGACATAAGGACCGAGAGGGACAGGCAATTTTCATTAGAAAGGGTGCCGAGTGAGGAATGACAAATCTGAGGTAAAAAATGAAATTCCCATTAAGATCATGAGATTGAGGGCGTGCTCTACCAAACTGTTTTGGATGGAGTAAGTGGAGTGCCCAGGATCATTGCTGAATGGAAATAGGAGGCTGGCAGTTGGGAGAGAGAGAAACTGGCAAGTAAACCAGAAGCACAGCAGGATTCAGAGGCAACACAGGAGTCATGGATGTACAGCTGTTTGCAATGATGTCTCACAAACATCATCATTCACTCGTCTGACAAGCAGTCCAAGAGAACATATTGTATGCCTGTCTTGTTTTAGAATTTAGGGACACAGATTTAAAAAGAAATGGTACTTTCTTTAGAGGGGTTCACGTTCCAACTGAACATACAGACAATCAATTACAAAGCAATATGGTACATTCTATGAGAAAGGATATCATCGATATTTGGAATACAACTGTAGAACATCAAAGGGTTCTGTAAAATGTGGATGATGTATGACCAAGAGTGACATGAAATGTCCAATCATAACCAATTATGACATGGGTTCCAATCATTAAAAAATCCTAAATGCCATGCTCAGGAGTTTGGGTCTTATCTTCTAGGCAGTATGGTGCCACCGAAGAATCTCTAGCTGGGCAGTGATAGGACAGATGAGATTTGTGATTTAGAAATGAACCTTGAATGTCTTGTAGATTATGGATGGGACGGAGAAAGGCATGAACGTTAAATCTGGTGGGGATAGGAACTCAGTTCACGGAGGCCTGACCTTGTCCAGCATAGGTAGAAAGCCTGGTGTGGAAGTAGAAGGGAATGAGAAATGGAATGGAGAAGGATGACTCATCAATGATCATAGATGTATATGGAAATGGCCACCTCCAGATTCTTCCTCATTTTGTTGAATCACTATCACCACAAAGTATCTCTCATTAGTACAGTATATTTTGTTAACTATTTCAAGTCTTGGAAAATAGAATGGCTGAGGTAAGTTTTTGTTTGTTTGTTTCTTTGGTTTTTTTTTTTTTTTTTGCTAGGCAGGGAGCCTGATGTGGGACTCCATCCTGGGATTCCAGGATCATGAACTGAGCCGAAGGCAGTCGCTTAACCAACTGAGCAACCCAGGCGCCCTGGCTGAGGTAAGTTAGGAGAGGGAAAAAACAAAGAGATGAACACTAACCTCAATCTCCATTATACTGGCATTCAAAGGGTTGCCTACATTTTTTCTTTCTTCTTGATTGTAAAAAGACCTTGGTTTCCCTTGTTGGCTAGACCATCCTGGTCTTCTTTGTGGGTCAGATGACATTGAACCCCCTTGCTGGCTAGATGACCCTGTACCCCCCTGCTGGCTGGATGATCCTGGCTTCCCTTGCTGGCCAGATGACCCTGGATACCCTTGCTGGCCGGATGACCCTGGACGCCCTTGCTGGTTGGATGACCCTGGATGCCCTTGCTGGCTAGAAGATCCTGGTTTTCCTTGTTCATTAGAAGCTTCAGCATTCTCTTTTGGATTAGAGCCTCCTGAATTCCCTTGCAGACTCCCAGGCTGATTGAGAATTCCTGGCCTTTCTTGCTTATTAAAATTCCCTGGTTTCCCTGGCTGGTTAGAATACCCTGTTTGTCCTTGCAGGCTAAATGTTGCTTGCTTTCCTTGTGTGTTGCTACCTCCTTGCTGATTAGATTCCTGTTGTTCTCCTCGATGGTTAGCTTCATTTTTTCTTTCAAGAATAAATGCAGGTTCTGGACCCTCCTGTGGCTTAAAAACATTTGTTTTCAAAATCTGGGTTGAAGACACTGGAATGATACCATAAGCACAAAAGTAAAATAATGTTATTTAACTTCAACAATTCAAAATCAACAGCATTCATCCCAGAGGTAGTACGTATTTCACGCCTCTTTGATTGTTTTTAACCAAACCTCAAGACAGAAGCTTTGCATAACTTCTCATAACCTTAATGTTTTGATTCCTCCATTTTTTTTCTTAACTGTATCATGGGTCCAAAAAAATCATGGGTCCAAACCAGTCTGTCCCATTTTAAATCAGTCTGAATTACTTGAGCTGAATTATCCATGTTTCATACTACAAATTCCTTTTAATGATTTCCTGATTAATCAAACAGACTCTGAGTTATGACCATTATCAACTTTCTCTCCATCACAGAACCCTTTCCTTTATTCCTAGCCTCATGCTACAGAACACACTATCATCAATTTTCCAGACATAAGTCCTGCCAGGCCGGCATGAGCCCTCTTTACATATTCTTTTCTCCATCTCCATATATGCTTTCTGTAGCTGTTTTCTTCCCCTCTTGCCTCTGTTCTGAAGGCAGTGATTCCCTTCTTTTTCAGAACATCAGCTTTATGTCCACTATTTCCCACAAGGGCCATAGCATCAATCAATCAGCCCTACTCCCTGGTGGTTACTTGTTTCTTTCTTTTGTGCTCAAACTACTGGAGGAGGTGGTAGATATTACGTGACTATTTCTTTTTTATTTTTGTGACTGTTTCTTAATACCTACGTATCTTAGCTCTTCTACTCCATCTCTCAAATTGATTTTGGAAGTTTATCCATCACTATATACATATATATATCTTATACATATATATACACACACATATACACATCATATATATATGTAAGATAAAAATATATATGTATATTTGATAAATAGATATATGTTTGGAATAGAACTTGAATAAATTATATATAAATATAGTATATATATTTAATATACATATTATATAATGTAATATATTATAATATATGATACAATATATGATATATATTATGTCATATATTAAAATATAAAATATGTGACATATAATATATAACATATATTATATATTACATTATATAATATGTATATTAAATATATACTAAATTTATATATATATAAAATTTATTCAAATTCTATTCCAAAATAAGCAGGGATTAGACAACGATCCATAAGCAATCCATAAATGAGTGGAATGGCTTTCTAGTTGTTGAGTGCAATGGAATTCTGTTGGGTCTTATGTTTCTTGTCCTTGGTTTGGTACAAAAGTGTTTCTTTTTGGCTTCCTCACCTTTTCTGTTTAATGGCTCTCTGTTCCCCCTTTCTTTTTCAACTGGGGTTTCCTCAAAAGCTGTCTTCAGGCTTGGTTGTTTTTCTTCACAGGCTTCCTTGGTAATTTTTTCAATGTATATTTCCACAAGCGTACACACTTGTACCTTCAGGTAAACTTGACTAAAATCAAATGCCTTGTTGATTATCATCCATTGAGCATGCAATGGTATACCATATTGTTGGTGGTTAAGCTCTTACCCAGGTCAGGAGCTTGGCACTCAGGAACATGGCTTACTAACTGGTGGTATAGTGTGGGCTGGAGTATGTGGGTATGATATAGCCATTCTTTCAATCTACCAAAAAGTATATTTGAAGAGTCCATTACTATGCTGGAACTATAGTAAGATCTAGACACACAGCCATGAATAAGACATTGTTGTTGTTGTTGTTTTTAAAGATTTTAGTTATTTATTTGACAGAGAGATATCACAAGTAGGCAGAGAGGCAGGCAGAGAAAGAGAGAGAGAGAGGGAAGCAGGCTCCCTGCTGAGCAGAGACACCCCCCCCCCCCCAATGTGGGGCTCGATCCCAGGACTCTGGGATCATGACCTGAGTTGAAGGCAGAGGCTTTAACCCACTGAGCCACCCAGGCACCCAAACAAGACATTGTTATTCTGCCTCAAAGAAGCTGGAAAGTCTAACAGTGGGTACAAACAAACAGACAGACATTTATAGTAGTATGATCAATGCTCTAAGGTGAGAAATAAATTAGACAATAGACCCAGAGTAAAGATTGGTGATAGTAGGGCATCATCTCTCCTTCCTGAAGGAGGTGACACATGAGAAGGATAGGCTATGATGTACTGTATGGGGACTAACATAACATAATAATAATAAAAAAGAAGGATAGGCTATAGCCAGAAAAACAGATAGGAAAATAATTATTTTCAGCAGTGAGATGAGTATAGGCATGAATTGTAAGAACCAAACAGTGTTCCTTAACAGGCACTAATTTTGAGAAGAAATCAACTAGGATAAAGAAGTGGATGAAATGGTAAAAACTACATCAGCTAACCTATTTTCTTTGTTACTTATGTTTGGTTTTTTAAAAGGCCATACAAGCAAATATGTTTAATTTCCAAGATATAAAAAGGTAAATAGTTAAAAATAACTTTCCCTTCCTTTCCTCTCCCAAAGCACCTTGGACAAAATTACATTTACTAGGTTCTTTGGCATTATTCCAGAGATGTTTTACATATTTACAAACATATTGGGGATATATTTTTCCACACACTTACTAGCACATTGTACACTGTTCTACTCCTTATTGTCTCCCTTGGCAGTACAGTGAGGTTTCTCTATATCAGTACGTATAGAGCAGTTTTATTATTTTCCCTAAGGGCTCCATATTATTTCATTTGTTCAATTTACCATAATTTATTTAAACGGTCTTCTGGCAATGAGTAGCTATGGTATTTCTCTCTTTTCCTAGTACAAACAATGATTTAATGAAAATCCAATTAAAATATCCTTGCTCACATGGCTAAATTTGTAAAGTAAAAACCGAGGGTGGAATTTTTGGGTAAAAAACAGAACTCAAATATCAGAATGTGGCTTAACCATGTTTTTTTTTTTTAAGTTAAACTTTCACAAAATAATTATCCTCACTTATTGTTTTGTATTTATCTCTTCTGATTTTACAAACTAAATATACTCTAGGCATTGCTTTATATTGTAACAGTCATATTCCTGACCCCTCTCTTTTCTTCACCTTCCAAATCCACAGAACCACCGCATCTGGTATTCGTGTACTTTCTTCCATCAACAAATGCCTACTTAGTACCTATGAAATGTCACCAGGCAAGGCACTGAAGTTCAAAAGAGATTTGGTACCTGCCGTTAAGGAACATGTATGTTCTAGAAGGGATTTTATTGATGTGCATTTTTCCTCCAAAACGTATATAATCCTAATAAATGCGTGTATAATATACCTCATTTCTCTGACACATATATTATAAAAATATAGAATGTCTGTGTCATTTATTATCTCGAGAAATTTACAACCCTAGCTGGAAATTGCATCTTTGAAAACAGACCATGTAACTGGATTGAAGTAAGGAATGGAGCTCAATGACAGGCACCAGAGAGCTCAAGTGATGGTAGCTAATATCAGTGCAAATGTATCCTTATGACGGCATCTAGGAATGGTTATTTACTTTCATTTTATAAATGAGAAAACAGAGATTAAAAAATTATGTTGAGTTGCCCCAAAAGACATAAATAGGAAATTGAAAAGCCAGGGTTAGAACCCATTTCTCTGTGACGACATAGCCCTAGATCATCACACAAAACTGTAATTTTTAGGGAATGTGAGCTTGAGAGTATTCACAAACTCTCATAACCCCTTTAGATTTCATTTTCTTTCTAGTGTAATGTATCGTATTTCCCATTCCCCTGCCTCTGCTTCTCTTTAGCAGCACAAAACCATTATTCCCTGTTGTCTTCCCTGTTGTCTTACCTTGTCCTTACTTTTATGCCTTTGGTCTATATTTATGCTGTTAATGACCCTCTTCCTTTTCTAGGTCTAATGGATATTTGTCACTTTAACATTTTCTGACAAAGTATTGCTAAGTCACTCAACGTTTCTAATTCTTTGAGAGTTGAAGGAAAGTCTTCTAATGTAACTTTTCTTACCTGAGAACATGGTCACGAACATGAGGGGGAGGAAAATGAAAGCCTTCATGTTAGAGTACACTGTTTCCGAAATCTTTGTTGAATGGAGGTAAGGGTAACTCTTCAGTAGATGCTTTCTGAGTAAACCATCCTGATCACCATCATGTTATATATCTGAAAAATCCTCCACCCTAGTTGCTAAACACTGTCACTTTGTATAAAAAAATTATAGAGTAACTCTCACAAACTGGAAGGTGTTTCTTCTTGAGTGGATTGCCATTTTTAAAATTAGCTTTACACCCCAACTCCCATAAATATCCAAAATGTAATATGCTTCTATCAGAAACCTATCTCACAGAAAGGAATAAAAATGGTGAAATCCATTTGGGAGAGTGGTAAATTTAGTGCTCAATTTTTTTTTTTTATATTGTTAAGAGATGACTGATCTTCAGTTAGTACTGTTACTGACCTTGTAAGTTTGTATGTCCACAACAGACATTCCCATGACATTTTCCCACTGATAAATTATGTGCCAATTATTTACCTCAAATTATATTGTAAAAGCCAGTAAAAATGCATCAGGTATTAGTCATTAAGAAGTGATGAACGTTTCCAGTGGGAATGATGATGTATAATGTATTTTTATGAGGAAACAAAAACCAAGACATCTTCTGTTTGAGAATAACATTACACCATTGACCTTGCCTTAAGCTATTATGCCAAACAGAAGCTCATGCGAAAATCACCTTGAGATTTTTAGTTAGTCATAAAATCAATATTATGAAACAGTGAAATTCTATGTTCAAGGTTGGCTGCCCTATATAAGAGAAATTTGAATTAATTGAGGCCTGGCTAAAGCAGAATGGCCTTGATAAAATGGGATCTAAAAAACACATAGCAGAAGGTTGGTTGATTGTAGCAGAAAATGTAAGCTTGAGTAAAGACAGACTTAGGAGTGATGTTGCCATTGGATTCATCATGTGAAGGGCATTAGCATGGAGGAGGAAGGTACTATGTGATCTGTGTAGTTCCAGATGGCAGAACTCATCCCAATATAAGGAAGTACAGGATAAATATTTTTGAATTCTAAAGAAAATTTCAGCTTTGGGAAGGGAGGTGAGATAGGTGAGTCTTACAATTCCTTCTCATTCTAAAAAGTCTTCAGATTTAGTGGTTCTGGATTGCGTTTGATTTTCATTTCAGCTTCTTTACAGGGGCAATTTTGAAAATGATAAGTGATTTCTTTTAACCAAGCCAGTAATGTTAGGGCATCAAAAAGGACAAGTTTTAATTTTTTCTATAGTAAAAAGGCAAGTTTGTTTCCCTCTCCACAATTATTCTCTGTACTGAGATTCAGTTGAATGTCAGAACAGGCTCAGTGAATCAGAAGCCCTGATTATATGGAAATATAGATATACATATAGATATAGATATAGATATGTAGATATAGATATATAGATAGATATCTATCTCCATATAATATACCCCATATTATTAATATACATATTTGAAGACCAGATAAACTTAACTAAAATTTCATTATGGCAAGTTCCAAAACACAGACAAGTTGAAGGAATTATGCAGTGAAAACCCATATAACACTACCAGGACTCTTCAATTAATATTTTGTACACTTGCTCTACGATGTATTGATCAAAATGGGTAAATCTGATATAAGTCTTTTTCATATCCAGATACTCATTAGAGACCTCAATTCAGTGAATTCCCAAAGAGCTGCATTTGCATTTTTACCTAAACAATTGCTTTGTACATACTTAGTGCCATCGGCTGGTCTACCCATGCTTTTCTCCTAGCTCCAGTGTTACCACACTTCAGAATAGCATATGTAAAAAACAAATATCATGTGCAGATACTGCAGCAAGAAGATGAAGTCTCATGAAACCTCTGCTCCAAGGTCTTGGAGACCCTCTCACTCGTTAGTAGAAGCTATTGTTGGTTGCGCTGAGTAAGGCAGTGCTTTCTCTATGTCACTGTTCTCCAAGCCATGCCAAAGGGTGTTTTGGATAATTGCTTTTAGTCCTCTAATTTTCTTAAATGGAACACTTAATTTCTTCTTTAATGATGGGAATCCTCCCACCTTTAGAATTGTCTACTATTGTCATCTTCCTTTACAGTTGGGAGTCATGTCAAAATTTTGTCTTGGAGTAGGCTCACGAAATGAGGGCATGACCATTTACCGGTGAAGGCGAAGGGGTGTCCCACATATCTTGGAGTGGGATTCTACATCAAGGCTACTTTTGTAGTGTTCTTCGTGTTTGGGTGGAAATAACAAGAACATTAGGGTCAGATGACCTAAGGTGTCTGTCACTCCTCATTTTAGTTGTGTAATCTTATGCAAGTTAATCTCCTTGTCTCTTTGTCTCTCCATCTGTCTCTTTTCCTATCTCCCTTTCCTCTTATTTCAAAACTCATGATAATAATATCCTATTGACAGAGTCTAATTTTGCAAAATATTTTGTTGTGGTTTGGAAGGAGAAAATTCATTCCTGAAGTTTAGTCATCTCGGTTTCTGATTGTGAGCTGCCTTCTAGCATCCCATGTCCAGTTACCTGATTCAGACCCAAGAAGCCATCTGTCATGCAGCTAAAGGGACGGAAGCTTTGAGATCCTTATTAGCTCTCTTCTGAGGAATACTTTAGCCACTATGTTTCAATTCTTCCTTCGGGGGAATAGCAGGTTTTGTTCTTTGAACCTCACATGTGTAAAGATTGAGCACAGTACAAGATGGAAGACAGCAGCTACATAGCATTCACTAGAATATTCAGACATAGATGCAAATAGGTTGAACTGAATTCAGCAGAAAAGCAGAATATTTGGTCTGGTTTTTGAAGTATAATTCATATTGCATAGAAGACATAACATCTCTTAAATCAGAGTCAGAGGGAGGCTTGCTATCCAGTTACCAAGTCTCATTAAATAGCTCACAATATTAAGAAAGAGGCAAAAGCTCAGGCACTAGGTAATCACTAACTGAAGGCCCTTTGCTGTTTCTCGGTTGACTTGTTAATTGGTTATTTCACCCAATCTTCGCCCACGTAGAGGCATTAGTTTCAGAACACAGAGTCCTGCAGGGTAGCAGATGCTTGAGATAGAATCTTGGGTAACTTCTCTGCTTTGGGTGTCAATTTCTGCACTCAGCACATAGTGTTCATCAGTTTGGTACAAACTGAAATTCAGATATATTTAATTTTATCATTATTTATTGAGATGATGCATATATCTGATACCCACACTAAAATGTGCCATTAATGTCACCTATTGTTATTATACCTGTGGGAGTATTTGGGATTAGAACCATGACTCTTTCATGTATTTGTTAATTTCACATTATATACAGTTATATACAGATATAACTGGTCACGTTTATGTGTACATATATTATGAGTATATGTGGCCATTTATTTTCTGTGGCCCAATCAGATACAGACGGCCTGTGACATCTTACACCATAACATACTTAAGGCTGCTTTCTAGACCTTTTGTGAAAAGACTCAGAAACCTTGAAATTGTGAGCCCAGGCTATGTGCACCCCCATAATTTCCCACAGGAGAGAAAACAGATTGGCCAAGGACATAAATTCGTTTGTTCACATACCATCTCTGTCACACCAGTATACTGATTCACTGGTCTTTTCAAAATATTTGACTTCCAACGTGTATGCCCTGTATTAAGAATAACAAATATTTAGTAAATACCCAGGACCAGACTCTGTGCCAAGAACTTTATATGAATTATCTCATTCAATTCTTAAAAGAACTTGCTTTATAGATGTTGTCTTCATTATTCCAATGAAAAAACAGAGATTGTTTTGGAATTTTGTGACAGAGCCCATCTTCTAAATTATCTCTCTTAATTGCTATAAAATATCTTCTGCCTGGGTTAAAACTCAAACAATATGACTGACCCTTTCTACTACTGTTACTAGATCGGGTGTCCCCTGCCTTCCTCTCAAATAATAATAAAATCTAAAAAAAAAAAAAATCCCCCCAAAATTGTTCTCTATTGATGGAACGGGCTGCTTCTTTATTGTGAATTTTCCAAAACCAAGAGTACTAGATGAGGTGCTTGAAATTGTTGTGACTTAAAGTGAGATGCAGAGCTCATATGCCATCAGGAGCCAGGAGCTAATGAGAACGAGTCGCGGGGCCCTGTGGGAATAACTCATCCAAAGAAGTCAGAAGTTAATCATTGTTGTTACTAAGGAGCATGGGCACCATGTCAGCTGGTCCTTTCACTTTTCCAGAATTTCTAGAAATCCATTTTTTTTATGTGAACTTCTTTAGTATTCAAATATTGATATCTACGAAAAGAAGTGACTGTAAGAAAATCCTGAAGCCTTGTTTTCCATTTGTTGGAGACCTTTTTCTTTAGCAACAGTGTGCTGAAAAGTATGTGATACTGGCCTTCTCTGAGTGCTGATCTTAGTTTTTCTGCATACTCAATTTGAGACTTCGGAAACAACCTTCTCTAAGATATCATTTTTCACAATGTTTCTGGATTTTTTCTTCTGCTTCCCCCCCTTTTCTCCTTCCTTCCTTCCAAAATACCAGCAGTATCTTTATTTGAATGTTTGTCAACCATTAAATTGACTGATTTTTCATTATACAATTCAATACAAGAGGCAATCTTCAGTTTGTATGCAACGTGACTGAAAAAAAGACTCATTGGAAAATCCTGCTTTTAGTTAAAAAACACTTCTTTCACAAGAAACTCATGTTTTAAAACTATCTTTATACATGAATTGCCCCATTAATATGCCTGGTACAGGTTTAGCGTGAGAGGTTTTTTTTTTTTAATTTAAATTCTAGTTAGTTAACATAAATGGTAAAATTGATTTCAGGTGTAGAATTTAGTGATCCATCACCTACGTATTCTGTTCTTTTCAAGCCAGCGAATTTCTTGTATGTCATCTATCAGCTAAAAATGCCATCCCTACAATGAGGTTTTCTATTAATGCACTGCAGTAATTTCCTATAATTCTTAGGCTATGAATTGCTTTAGCTTGGCTCCCAAGGCTCTTTATGAACTGATGCCTTTCATCATTGATCA